AGCTCCGGAACGGCTGCTCCATGCTACAGCAAATCTGACCAAAATGTGAAACCAAATTCTGGTGCTGTTCAGTACCTTTTGGGGCCATGCTGACGCTAATGTGGAAGCACCTGGTCCCTCCAGCGTGTCCCGGGTCTCCCTTTAGGTCCCACCAGGTGGACATGCCCGGAAAACCCCACCAGGGAGGTGTCCAGGAGGCATTCTAACCAGATTCCCTAGCCACCTCAACAGGATCCTCTCAATGTGGAGGAGCAGCGGATCTACTCTGAGCCCCTCCAGGATGACCAAGATTCTTACCCTATCTCTAAGGGAGAGCCCAGACACCCTGTGGAGAAAACTCAATTTGGCCGCTTGTATCCACGATCTCGTTCTTTTGGTCACTACCTAAAGCTCGCCACCATAGATGAGGGTTGGAAAGTAGATTGACTGGTAAATCAAGAGCTTTGCCTTTCGACTCAGCTGGCTCTTCAGCACATTTTGGTCTGATTCTGGAATAAACCTTTCTCTGGACATTTTGACTAGAGTTTTGAAATGGGAAAACAGAAAAACCTCTTCCTTCTGATTATTTTTCCTCTGAGTAGCCCTTGGCTTGGCTCAATGCTTTCTTTATTCCACTGATTTCAAAACAAAGTTACTGAACTTTTTACATCTTTGTTTAAACAAAAACAAACACACAGCTTCTGAACTGTCAGAACGAAAGATGTCTTAAAGTTCTACAAATGTTCACCTTATCCTTAACAAACAACCAACTCATGTAAACACTGAAACAACACAAAAGGAACAAAACATCATTAAAATAAAGTGCTAAAAATCTTCCCTCAGTTCAGAATCTGCCTCCATTTCTAACCAAGGCAGAATAAGCTGCCTTTTTATTCTAAAATTATTATTAAAAATGAGACTTTTTGTGTCTCATCTGATCCCATTCAGTCTTGTTTTTGTCATTTCTCATTGTTTTTGGTCTGATGCCCAGAATGCCTTCATGCACTCCTCTTAGCGTGAGCTTTCCCACGATTAGAGCAACAGGAGGCTGATTGCAGTAACAGCCACGAGCATCAATTAGAACAAGGATTTACTGATGGTTACATCAACAGTAAAACCATTAATAAATTAGCCAGCAGCAGATTTAACACAAAACACAGCGACGGGTGATGTATCGACCAAAATTATCATAAACCCTCTTTCTGCTTTGGTGAGCTGGACTCTTTTTAATTTGGTAGGATTTAGGAGTGAAAACACACATATCCTGAGCTCATTTAGGCGCATATTTTTACTTATTTCATTTTAGCAGCAGCGTTACCATGGCAACAATCTTCTCTCTTTGATCAAGCCTGTCAGGTAGACCAAATACTTTTATATTAGAGAATGTCTTAAATTTATAAAAGTGCCACAACAATAACTCCTTACAGAGAATTCTGTGTCACCTTGTGCGACAAATGACATTTTGTGCCATTATCTGGCAAAAATCTGCATGTAAATGAATTATCTTTTCACACTCCGATTAGCCGCACTGCCTGAGCGGGCCTAAACACAATGAGCAGCTGAGACACAGCGTGAGGACAGCCACATCATGGAGCCTGTCACAATAAAAGAAACCATTCAGCAAAATGCACAAACTCGCCTCATTTCCACAAACAAAGAGCTTTTCAGCAGAACTTGAAGCAGTGGGGAAGATCCAGAGTCAGAACCACTTCGAATATGATGATTAAAAAAACCCACGTATATTAGATGAAGACGGCGACAATTTCAAGTTTACACTTTGTGTCTCTGCTGGAGGAAACTAAAGCAGTTAGATTTAGGCTGCAGCATCACTCATCAGCTCTAATGATTCATCAAACACCTGAGAGTTCACTGACACACACACACACACACACACACACACACACACACACACACACACACACACACACACACACACACACACACACACACACACACACACACACACACACACACACACACAACCTTTAGCTTCCATTGGGGATATTAAAACGACTCGGGTGTGCTGTTGGGCGGTGAGTAATTTCCAGGACCAACAGGATTATCAGTGTATGTTCTGGAAGATGGCAGGAAATCAGCCTTCAAGTTACCAAAACAGTTAGCGTTAATTGGTCTTCATGTGTCATCTCAAACAGAGCTGAGGACAGCTTGAGACCATGAGCGAAGGGAAGAGCGAGGGAGAGAGGGATTACTGACGGGACTGTGATGAAAATTGGTGGCAAGATAATGAGTCTCGTTGTCTTTTCATCCTCTCATTCTGCGTGTCTCATTATTCAGAGTAACTGGTTGGAGAGAGGCTTCACAGTCTGCTGCTTATTAAAAACCCAGAGCGCCTTTAGATAAGTTCATCAGCCTCTCCATCCCTCCTTTCCTTCCATCCGACCGCTGGCATCTTCTCCTCCCCTTTCCTTTTTCCTCCTCTCACAGTTTGAACTCCTACATCCTTCCTCTGATTCCTTATCCATCGCTCTTCCATCTGTTTATTTTTTCCACCGTCCTGCAGAGCAAAACAGCGAGACAGAGAGATGATGATGATGAGGAGGAGGAAGATGCCCATCCCCAGACAGGGAGTGAATCAAAGAGCTCAGGAGAGGAAAAGACAATCCTTTTTGTGACAGATGATGCTTTTATATCAAGGAGGGGCCTTCTCCCCATTTCCTGTTGATATTCTTTGTAGTTTTTCATTTTTTATCCCCCCTACATCCCCTCTCCTCCCCCTCCTCCTCCATCCCTGTGCGTCGGTGCCACCATGGCAGACTGTTTGGAATCAATAAAAATGGCTGTTGGCAGACAAAAGTCGTGGGGCGGGCCGGTGGCTCGCTAAATGCTCATTTCTCTTCTCACAAATCAACACCTGCATCGATCCAACATGTGATGGCTGAATCCTGCAACAATTAAAAACTCAAACAAACGTTCTGCTGGGAGAAGTGTGACGGGGCTTTAGGAACTACAGAGGCTTGTTAGTAGAAATGACTAGGTTCTCGTTATCCTCTCCAAAAAACGATCAGTAAGAATAAAGACAATTGTAAGTTAGAGAGCCTTAAGGTTGGTTTATGCTTGACGCGTCCACGAGGTCCGCACGGCTCCGCGTGGAAAAGTTGCGTCATTTTAACAACCACGCCCCTCCACCGCGTCTCCGCACGGCCTAAGATTTCCGCAACGCGCACCTCGGAAAATTTCTAACCACGCGGATGGACGGACGGACGGACGCGGAAAAACATGGCGGACCGGCAAGAACTAGTATGGCAGAGGTTCGTAAATACAGACATTTGTATGATTCAGCTCTCAGAGGTCACTGTGATCAACATGTTGTTAATAATTCTTGGAGAGAAATAGCTCGCACTGTCGGAAAAGACGAGGACACTGTTAAAACTGCTGGAATGCCATGTTGTAAACAGTAATTTCTACTTCTACTATGGTGTAGTGTTGGGTGCATGCCATAGAGCTCCATACTGCCCCGTTCAGTTTGGGAGAATATTGGCTCACCGCAGAGACGAGCCGCACGAACCATAAACGCTGCGAGTTGTGAAGCGCGTTCCATCCGCGAGCCGCATCACCAAGCAGAAAGTGAATGCATCAAGCATAAACCAAGCTTTAGTGCAGCCGCAACCTTGGGGTGACCCAACACTGTTTGTGACCCTTCATAACAGTGTCAGGGTCACACTTTAACCAAACCACAGTTGTTGCATCTGAAATGATGAATCTAGATTTATGATCTTCAGGAGAAACTATCTCTGTCTGAATCTACCCTCATGTGAATTACAACCAACATTTGGGCAAAGTAATTATGTCACAGGCAGATTATGCTCCAGTAGCAAATCGGAAAACTGGAAGGAATTAAATAATGTTGCTCAGTAACCAGAGCAAATAACTACCAACAAAACAAGCCAATAAGTGTGGATTCATCTGCTCACAAACACTAGTAACACATCCTCTAACATACTGTAGAACTACACTGTAAATGCCTGTGTGTGTGTGTGTGTGTGTGTGTGTGTGTGTGTGTGTGTGTGTGTGTGTGTTTGTGTGTGTGTGTGTGAGAAAGAGAGAGCGAGAGAGAGAGAGAGAGCGCGAGAGAGAGATAGACTGAATTAATGAGATACAAACTGAGAAAAGTAAATATAAATAGTTCTTTACTGCAGCCATCACAACTTTTCATAGGCGAGGCAGCCATATTAGATTCTGAGATTGGTGTTAATCAGTGACATCACATTCTCAAAGTCAAAATTCTAACTTCAGCTGTTGATTTATTTCCATTTGGAAGGTGGCAATTCCAGTTTCTGAGTGTAACGCTGTAATCGCCCTCTTATCCAAAATGCTGTTGTTTTAGAAACACCAGATACAGGATCAAAATCTCAAATCACATTTTGGTTTGATTTGTTTCACCCAATGAGCCATGTGAAACACCAATCTGAAGTTAGCTGGCTATGATTCTCACTTTGGTAACTCAGCCCCCTGTTAGCTTTGATTTGTAAGAATGAGCAAAAAATGTAAAAGTTATCTTCAATAAATAACAAAAACACCTTAAATATGGAAATGACAAAAACTGTTACTACTTTTAATTGTAAATAAGCGTAAGAACAATTTTCTTTTTAGTTTGAATGTAAGTTGAAAGTTTAATTATGTAACAATTTGTGCAGGCTGATAAGAAGCAAAATCATCATATTTCCTTTAAACCAATTTCCTTTACATTGTTCTTTTGTTAACACAGGGAAGTAAATTTTTTTCACCTTGCTGGCAGTTTAAGCTGTCTTAAACAGAGCTAGTCGCTAATGGCGGCATCAATTCCTTCTCCGTTTATCCTCGGCCAGCAGAGGATGGTGTCGCCCTCTGCTGCCCGCGCTCTCCTCACTGATGACACCGTCCCATGCATGGTTGAATGTGCAGACCCCACTGGATCATGGTCATGGTTCCGCGGCCACGTCTCCGTATTTCTATGGCTTCCTTAATCCATCTTTTATATTTCTGTTATTTGGTGTTTTTGATCTTTGCTCCGTCCCAGTCCATTATATGATTTCCCCTTGCGCAGTGGTCTGTTATGTCTGATTTCTTCATTGTGCTTTCTGCTTCTTTTTTCGCTGCTGTTGTGTGTCTTTGGCTTGTTTTTTTCTCACACTCCTCTATGTTCTGTTGTTTGTGGGTTGAGTTGGCGTCCGATTTCTCCTATGTATGTTTTATTGCAAAGTTTGCATGACATTTCATAAACGACTCCACATTCATGTCCTGCTGATACCTTGTCCTTTGGGCGTACCAGTCTGGTTTTAACTGTGCGTATGGTTTTGTTGGTGTGGTTATGTTGTTTTTTCATTCTTGCTATGATTTTTTCTGTAATGCCTTAGAAGTAAGGAAGAGTTATCACTGGAACCAAAACCAGTGATAATCTTTCCTTTATGGATTAACAGCGAAGGAAGTGATGTCGTCATTAGCAGCTAGCTCTGATGAAGACCGCAGGAGTGGTTGCAACTGTCAGCAAGGTAAATAAACATTTCCTGTGTTAAAAAAAGAACCTAAAAATGCAATCAGAAGAAACACACAGAAGGAAAATACCCTTTACATACATATAGACTCAACTGTAATCAGGTAGAATTTTTCAACACTTTTCTGTTTATTCCCCTCTCCACTATTCAGCCTCCAATGAAAGCCAACGAAGACACAAATGTTAAACATGCTATGTGCTCCTCAGCGGCCTCTCGACTCATTGACTCATATCACATCCAGAGAAATAATCACTTCACACACAAGAGGCCTGTGAGGTTTGCTTTAATGGGCTTTTGTTTCTCACAAACACCAAGTGGAATCCTAAAGACGAAGCACACAGGACACAGTGTTCACGTCGGGTTTGTAAACTCAACGAGAAACGCTACGGCAGATTAAGATGCACAGATTCTACATATGTCTCTCAAACTAATCACAATCTGAAGGAGAGGCAGTGTGCATTTCAAATAAAGCAATACGATTCACAATTTAACATCCCCCTGAAGAAGGTCTTGATCTGAGGAGGAAGAGGAAGAATCAGGAAGTTGCTTGCAGCGGTGTGCATTCACAGCAAATCTGGTGAGTCCATGCTTCTACAGTTTACTCCTGACAGTCGTCTCTGTGGGAGCCGACAACAGAAGAGAACCTTGTTAAGCAAGTGGAAACTTTACCCGGTAACACAGCAGCTGATGGTGTTCTTTGTCATTTTGGAGCATCTGGTTGCTTCAGACAGATCTGTTAGTGAGGATTAGTCAGTCTAAGTTCTAAGTGGTGATGGTAAAAGCACACAAGTGTACACGTCAGACAGCGCCAGGTTTACGGAGGAGGTCCGTGTCCCGTGGACACACGGCTCTGGTCCATCTGCCAGCTGTAAAACCAGGTCCACATCCATCACAGACACACTGGCCTTTTAACGGGAAAAACTACCTTTTATAACCGCCTCAGTCAAACGACCCAAGCCCCAATTTAATGCTGCAGTTGTGGATCTGATGCAGTTTTTACAGTTTTAACAACTAGACGTTTGTTTCACTACAGGAATAGAAAAACAATCCTTCCCTCGAGGAAAACAGACACAGCCTAAGTTACTAGTTGAGTACAAACTTGCATTTAACCAAAATCCTACTGAGATATGAAGCGATTCCAAAGTTAACACCCTAGAATCACCTCAATGTAGACAAATGTCGGTCTAAACTTTTAGTTAAAGCCACTTTAACCTCATTCATACAGTGGGTGCGGAAAGTATTTAGGCCCCTGTTAATTTTCCACTCTTATTTTGCAGCCATTTGCTAGAATCAATTCAATTATTTTTTCCTCATTAATGTACACACAGCACCCCATATTGACTAAAAAACACAGCATTTTAGAAATGTATGCAGATTTATTAAAAAAGACAAACTAAGTGGTCAAAGCAAACATGCAAAAATGTAGGAAAATACACTGAAACTAGTGTTATTTATACCAACGGAATGAAAAAGTACTTTCACCCACTTGGCATGTCTCACAAGAAGAACAAAAAACCTCAATCTGTTTGTTCTGTTTAGAGCTCATGATACTGACACACTGATAAATGTTGTTCTGACAGATTAAAACACACAACAGCTTCATCTATCGTTTCCCAGGAAAGAGGAGATATAAAAGCCGTGCACTGACATGACGTCCAAGCTCTCTGTGGAAGTTTGTTTCCTGACAATCGTTTAGTGTGAAACACACACACACACACACACACACACGCACGCACGCACGCACGCACGCACGCACGCACGCACACACACACACACATCTGTGTGATTGAGCTGAGTTTTGCTGAACATTTTTGTTCTAGTTGTGGTTCTGACATCTATGTTGGCTCAGATGTCCCCTAAACTTTCACTTTTAGAGCAAGTTCAAGCAAATTAAAATAAAAAATGAAAATAACTTTTTCAAAAGGTTACATTCATATTAATCAAGTGACATATTGATTTTTTTTGCGTATTAAATATACATTTACACAAAAATCTGGCAGTTTTCCACTCACCAGCTCCTCTGAGAATAAAAAAGCCTCCACTTTGTTAGTGAGTGTTTAAAATCTGATGTTAATTGTGGTTTTAAAAATAGAAGCAGCTGTTTGAGGATCACACTTCTCAAACATTCTCATTCCTCCCCTCAGACCTTTGCTCTGAATTATTTTGTCTTTCATCAAATAAATCAAGCCTCCCTTTCTCCACCCACATGTTTAATGTCTTACTTTACCCTTCGGTAATTAAGCATGTCCGTTTATTTGCGGCTAAGTTTAGTAGCTGCAGTGATTGTGAACATAAATAATTAATGTCCACATGCGTTTGCGGTTGGAGAGGAAACCAGGCGGTGCGACAGAAGCTTAAACATACACACACCTTTATAATTCTTAGCAGAAGTGTGTGTATGCACATTTGTATCTTTGTGCACTTGGGTTGATAATCTTTGCAGCTTTATACACCTGACCTCTGGTACTTAAGCTGCTTAAATGCTCACCAGCTGTTTGCTAACAGTCTGTGCTTTTATTTAGTGCAGAGCAGGCAGTGAGCTGCACAGCAGATCTTACGGAGCTAATTCTCCTTTGAACTTTTCAAAATTTTGCCAAAAATTTCAAATCACTTCATAATAACACAAATGAGTATGTGTGCAGCTGTTCTGATTGATGAAAGCTATGTTTTGTAGACAAGAATGGAAGAAGAAGAAAAAGACTGTCAAACAGAAAAAAAAGCTTCTGCCAAGTTTCATCTTTATTTTTGTTTATTGTTGATTCTGCTTTATTGTCAAGGAACAAAGAAGTTAATCTATATTTATCTGTTTCTTTTTAAACTTTGACTCTCGCACCTTGTCATTTAAAACTCATATCTAAGCAAAATGTTTGCTGCTGATGTAGTTTTGAAAAAACAAGCTACATTAAATACCTCCTAAGCAGGGTTCGAATTATGGGGAGCTAAGGGGAGTCCCTGAAAGGGTGATGGGCTCCCCTAGAAGCCCCAACTTACACACCCAGGGGGAGCCTGAAAAAAAGTTCCTGTTTCTACCTATATTACATCATTTATATGGACTCTGCGTACGAGGGATTCTTTTGAGCAGAGAGGGTGATTGTTGAAGCGCTCCAGGCAGCTGCATCCTGCGCACGGTCAAAGTAACATTATCAAAGTGGCACAACCCTCGTTCAGGTCCGCCTATATTCTCTGGTATTTTCTGTTGTTTGTTTTATTTGTGCCTGACGCGCGCCACTGATCACCCGCGTTCCGGTGATCTCATCTCACTGGAGCGGCTGTGCAGTGCACATTCAGCTATTTTTTTTGTCAGTGGACCCCTTTGATCTGCTTAGTTCAAAAGTGACTCATGAGGTGAAAAAGGACGAAGCCAGGCAGCAGTTATCTTGAGAGAAGATGCAGGAAGATCAGAGACAGACAGAACAGGAAAATAGTCAAAAAAACAAACAAACAAGAAAACAAAACAAAGAGCTTGAAAAGGTAAATGTAGGTACAGTAGATTTATCCCTCTACACATGTTAACTTTATAAAGCAATAATTTATAAGCATATAATGACACAATTCAGATCACCTTCAAAACTCAGTCCCACACCCAGGGCCGTTTCAAGGCATTCCGGGGGCAAGGAAAATAGAACCCCCTCTCACTTGGCTCCCCCGGAAGCTCCTGTGTAATTCGTACCCTGCTCCTAAGTGTCATTTTCTACACGTTATCTCTAAGGAAGAGCAAATAAATAAATAAATAAATAAGGAACAAATTTTTGCAGTGGATTAATCTCAGTCTGCATCACTTTAACCTTTTTAACAAAAATATTCTTGCAAAAACTAGACAAGGTAAAATGAGTCAAAGGAGTAAAACCTCATTAGAGCGACCCTAAACCAACTCACACCATCACATGACTCACCCTGTCACATGACCTGGCCACTCACGCTCTGTCATGTTACATTTTTATCTTCAAAAGTGCTTTTTATGAAGCAGAAAACCAGCGCATCGCAGTTTGAAATCTCATTATTTTTAACCATTGATCTTCCCCGAGGCCAGGGGAGAAATAAAAGGAGAAATCCCTCCTGGCTGAACGTGTCCACAAAATGAATCTTCACTCTGAAAAGTTGCTGCGATGCTGAACAGGCAGCTTCTGTTTTCTGTCTCACTCTGCTTTAACTCCTCTTCCAGTGGGGCACACACACTGTGGGCAGAGCAAATCCTTGTTTTACGGTATCCATGTTTCCTTGATCTGTCATGCAGAATTCATATCGGTGTTACACAGAGCCATATATTTCAACGCCAGTAGCATTAGTCTGGCATTTACTCCCACATGAGAACATGAATCTGTCGCTTTTTAATTTGAAAAATGTAAAATGCGTTCCACAGCTTTGGCTTATGGGTGTGAGGGTTTGTCAGCTTGATGGGGTTCATCTCAACTTTTGTTTTTATTCATTTCATTTTGATTTCCTTAAATCTGAACACGAAACAAATAAATCCTGTTTATTGCTCCATTGCTTGCATCCATGTTCTGGTCGATAGTCTTTAGAGAAGTCTTCATTTCAGGTCAAGAAGCATTGGAGGCTCTAGGGGCGGGGCCACAGGGCCATTGGCCCCCTGATTTATTATAAGACGTCGGTTCAACTTTCATTTTGGAACCATTTTTCAACCATGACGAAACGTCGCGGGCTGGACTGTGCGAGCGGGGGTGTAGTCCACTGTGCTCCGCTACCGTCTCTCATCACTATCAGTGGAGGGGAGGCCCGAGATCCGCTTCACTGCCATGCGTTGTCCGTGTCAGTGGAGAAGGTAGGGCCAGGGAGGTGTGGTCGGGACCATGCTTAGCCTGGCGGATGACCAAGCAAAGCCTGGTGGCCGCCAGGCTTGTACAGCGCTGGGTGAAGCCCTGCCCTTTATGCGCTTATACTTCTGGCAAAACTGGCAGAACTCACCCGAAGACATGAGCAAGTTGTTGTTGTTTTCCAGGTACACATGGTAAACGTCATTTGAGTTACTGTGATTAGCTAAAGACAAAATATGGTAGCCAGTGCCAGCCGGGCACTACCTTCCTCCAATCAGCTCAAAACATTCTACCAGATAGCCGTCCCTCTTTCAGACGGTTTCTGCTGCAGAGATTCCAGATCAAAATGTGTAGACCTGACATGGGGCGGGGCTACACACGGAGATCTGGCTGCTGCCAGGTTAACGACACTGGGGTTACGTTTACATCTACCAGCCAACAGAGGGCACCGTTGTAGGCTGCCAAACAGCCTGCTCAGCACAGCCAGGCTGGGACTGTGGAAAATGGCGCACTCGGCAAGTCAAGCAGCTGATTAGCACTAGAGCACTAGATGTCACTTTGGTGTTTGTGTTCAATATTCCAACTTTAAGGAGGTCTTTAAGAGGAGAAAGCATGATGGACAATCAGCTGTAAGGCCACATGTCCACTGTGTTAGACTCTTTTAAACATATCTGAGCTAGTGAAATAAAGGCAGATATTTGAGCAAATGCAACATGTTTGAATAGAATAGAATAGAATGGAATAGAATAGAATAGAATAGAATAGAACAGATAGTTGTCCCTCACTGGAGAAATTTTGGTGTCAGACCAGCAAATCAGATTCACAACTGGAGGCAATAACTAGAAATAATTTCTGTTAGACATTTCTGGTTTTTCTTCTGTACCCACTGTGGAAATAAAATAATATATTATTAGATGAATCTAAATTTGTGGCTGATTATCATCATTGAAGGAATTCGGAGTTAAGCTTCGGTAAATCACATATTTCAAATATGATGTATTTTTCTCCTGATTGTAAGAACACGATTATCCAGATGAACCACTTGTATGCAGCTTGATTGTTTCCCTCCACCATCTCTTCATCCGGGCTGTGAGATTTCAGCTGATCCTGATCTTTGCCATAATTAGGAGTTCCCATGTTTTACGAGTTCATTATGAAATAAAAGAAGACAAGGCGGGACTGTTGAGACTTTGCTCTGAGATGGTTTTTGGTGTGTTTGATTTACAGCGGCGGTAAAAGCGTCACATTAGGGGTTAAGACTGCAGTTGTAATGCCGAGGCTTAATTTGAATAATTGAGTGAATGAGTGATCATGCTTAGGAACAGTTTGGCAATGTGAGATGATAAATCAGCAGCATAATCAAAACAAATGGGAGGAGTCATCATGTCACGGTGCGAGCCAACATGGAATCACATAAAAATTTACGAATTTACTAAACTTCGCTTAAGCACACAGATCAATCTGCTGCGATGGAGCAGCACGACTCAGACACGGCTCAGGGAGCTAAATCAGCTCATTTGACTTTTCACCTTTACTGGGAAACATTTTCTGTTTTTATCAGTTTATGCAGCAGATGTTCTGAGACACACGTTGTTGTGGACACACCATGCAGGTTACCTGAAGGGTAAGCCCCGGTCATTTGGTCAGGCTACAAAAAATGGGCAAAGAAGTGAAGGAAAAATGATAAACATTTAACATTTTATATAAAGAGATTTTAACCCCAGCAAAACAAAACACATCTTGGCTGCATCTGGATCAGTGCTTCTCCAGGATCTCTGAAAACTCTCCTGAAGACTTCTGCAGCGTTTACTCGTTCAGCTAACCACCTGATCATTTTACTGAACTACTGAACTCTGAATTATGAATTCTAAAAAGGAAATAACTTGAGAAAGAAACAATCTTAAAATGGATTTTAGGCATTATGATACCAACAGCCTTTCACATAGACACAAGCTTTTACAGTTTGATCTAGAAAAACACCAAAGTGACACAATCGGACACAAGAAACTGTATTTTACCACAAACAGGTGACTGAAAACCTGTCAACGATCAGGTAAAGGATGACTCCTCACTCAGGTTAGGGTTAGAGAAGAAGACCACAAGAAGTGAAAAAGCAACCATGGCCCATTAAAAAAATACCCCGAAACACCTTCAGAAAGACCGGAGAACTATTGATGACACAATTTTAAAGGACTACAGCAAAGCCTGGCTGTTCAAAGCAACACAACTCAGAGTGTTGTAAATGTCAGAGTGGTTTCAAACAGATTTAGAAAGTTTTATGTGTTGGTGAGGTTTTATTATGAAAGGCAGGCTGTTTCATAGTTTATGTGCAGCCTGAGCTTTTATCTGCTCCCGTTAAAGAGAAGAATCAGCACATCATCTGGCTCAGCTCTAAAAGGACAAGATAGGTGAAGAATAACTTAAAATAAGAGATTCTAATATTTATTCAACAGTGAAACAGAAGCCAGGACCAGGAAGTGGAGTGGTCTTCCTTATACAAAATCAGCAAATGAAGAAAAAGCTTTCAGCTGGAAGAAACTAGACCTGACAACAGAATTTATTCACTTTTTATATGAAATATTGTTAAACATGACCCTCAGTTTCTTTACAAATGGCTCAGAATGCTACGCTTTATTCATCTGTGCTTTCTGAGGTGCAGATTTAAAAAATAAAATAAAAATCATAAATAATATTCTAACTTCTGCACAGATCGCTGCTCCCTGCCTCTGTTGGCTACAGCCGTACTGAAGTTAACCATTAAATTATAATTACAGAACTCAACTTCACCCATGAGTCGAGAGATAAATGTTTTTTTTAGTGTAATTAATTAAGATTGTTTACTTTAAACTGTCCAGTCATTACATGGTTTCCCCCAGTCAGGACTGAGCTCTTTTGTTTATAGAATGAAGTAATCAAAGCTCTCAATGAGCAGACGTGTGTCTCAATGCGTTTCTGGACACTGTTAGTTAATGCAGAGTAAAGTGTATGTTTATTTAATGTAATTAAACACATTTAAACAGGCCGCATTTACACAGTCATGTGTGTTTACTGGCCTCCTGCATGTGCGAACGTGCTGGATGTGCAAACAGCTCACAGTGTGTATTTGTCACACCAGAGTGTGTTTGTCTGTGCACGTAGCTTAATTTGACTGAGGCAAGCTGTTATCGCTGTAAAAAGATCAATGTGTGTGCGCGTGTGTATGTGAGAGAGAAAGAGAGCGAGAGAGAGAGAGAGAGAGAGAGAGGGAGAGAGCGAGAGAGCGAGAGAGCGAGAGAGAGAGAGAGAGAGAGAGAGAGAGAGAGGGAGAGAGCGACAACTCACCGGCAGGGAAGTAGAGCGGGAGGTTCTGCAGATATAGCTCCTTATCCATCGGCAAGAACACACAGAAGATGACTCTGTCCAGCTGAGACACACACACACACACACACACGCGCGCGCACACACACGCACACACACACACACGTGCACGTGCGCGCGCACACACACACACACACACACAAATGACCTTTATCACTGGCATTTGCAGTAATTCATCAGCTGCAGGTGGAAAGTGTGTGTGAGTGTGTGTGTGTGTGTGTGTGTGTGTGTGTGTGTGTGTGTGTGTGTGTGTGTGTGTGAGACACTGTGTGTTGGCAAAATGAGGAGAATGCAGCTAATGCATCAGTCCATTACTCTGCTATTAGCGGCCCATTATGATTATACCACGACCGAGCGTTTATTACTTTGTGTGCTGGAGACACGGAGCAGAAAGTGTGCAGGGAAGGAGAAGAGAAAAGTGTTTTTTTCCAGATGACATCAAAACATTATCCCAGAGAACATAAGTGAAGAATATTTGAGCATAGCATCTTGTCTTGTTTGCATCCTGCCTCAGCTGTCCATCATTTTGTGTACATATTAAAGTAACCTGATGATTAAAGCTGTAGCTACAGTAAAAAATATGCTTCCAGGGGTAAGAGCTCTGCTGTACACTGACAAACGTTATTGCCACCTTTATATTTGCACAGCAGTTATGACTTCTCTGTTTCAGGCGAGGCATTGCGATTTATAGCCAAGCTGTTTCTGTCTGATGTGGGAGTTTAAGTCTCTTTGCATGCGGGGATTGAATTGTTTAGCACCTGGCTAGCCCCCAGCTTATGGTTTCCAGTCCAGGCTTTCTACACATTCACCATCCCTCACCAAGATTTGCATGGCGGTTGAAAGGGAGGACAAAGAAATGCATGGTAACTACATCCCACTGGGCTGAGGTTTGAAACTTGACATTAAAGAGCCTCCACTGGTAGCAGAAAACAGAAGCAGTGGGGAAGTAATTTTGATAACACAACAGAGAGCCTGGAGATGCTGCAAACAAAAACATCACGTGGACTTAAGAATGGTCTCACAACCACCTGTGTCAAACAGGAAGTTGTAAATATTCACTTTAGAAACAGGAAGTCTGGTCAATGATCTGTTGGAGGTTTTACACATGTTCAGGTCCTGACAGTGTTTGGGTCAGTGACATGTGAAGAAACTGGACACAGGAAAGTTAAGCGGAGGCTGAATCCAAAACTAAACAACCCCCCCGGACCAGTGAGTGACTGTGCAGTATATGTTTTAAGTCCTATTAAGTACACACAAAATTACTTTAGTGTACTTCAGTTTTGGTGTCTGTCCGTCCGTCTATACATACATATTTGGCTACTTAACCGAGGTCGGGTCACGGGGGCAGTAGCCTAAGCAGGGAGGCCCAGACTTCGCTCTCCCCAGCCACCTGGGCCAGCTCCTCCGAGGAAATCCCAGGACATTCCCTGATTAGTTGAGAAACATAACGTCCCTCCAGTGTGTCCTGGGTCTTCCTGTAGGTGTCCTCCCAGTTGGACGTGCCCGGAAAGCCTCACCAGAGAGGCTAATTTTTATGTTCACAACAAAAACACGTCTTTATTAACACTAATTTCTAATAGACCCAGGAATAACAGGTACATAAATACAAGCATTACTAGAAGTAGGAGGAGCAACTATGTTGACCAGGATGATGTTAATCTGAAAACCTGAAATGAATCTAACAAACAAGAAGGAAGCGTGCGCTTTGCTGACAGATAGAGGAGCTTGGTCATAGATTAAATTAATCCTGCCAAACCCAACCCAGATTAAACTGCAAGGTACATTAAAATCCTAATAGGCAGAGGTGGAAAGTAACAAACTATATTTACCCATATACCGTAAACCGTAATTATATCTCCATCTTCAGGTTAAAATCTGCTCCACATTCATTCATAGCCAGCTGTGGCCGATGGCTAAACTGGAAAATGTGACGTTGTCAGCAAATGACTATGTGGCTGCACTACACTGGTCTCCAGGTGAGGCAGCCGCACCTCTACCTGGCTCAGCCACTCACCTGCCGACATGACACGCTGGCACTCTGAACCGCTTTCTTCCTTGGAAAAAATGCCCTCCTCCCTTTTTTCATCTAATGATCATGGTTAATAGGAAATCTGCTCGTTAAGCAACAACACACAGCTACAGGGTATAATGTCAGAATGGACAAAGCTCCTCAGATGAGAAGCGAAACATCTTCAAGAAACCAAAGAAGTCCAGTTGCCTTCATTGAACCCCTTTTGGATTAAACATCCAATCTGACTCCAGCTGGGCAAGATGTCAATCTCACACCTACCTACGTAGTGGGGAGCCATTAATTGGACTGGTGGTGCGTACGTGAAGTGATGTCACAGAATAGCACCGTAGGACGTGCTTGGTAACGCCTTTTCGCATGTCATTCATGAAGTTTCTTCCTCAACAACAGCCACAGTCTGAGTACCAGTATAAATATACCTCGACATCCTCAACAATCTTATCCCACTCGTCTCAGTCGACCATGCTCACGCCTGCTTTTGTTTTCTAACTTGTGGCGCTTACGAATGACATCACAGATTTCACCATGCCACTATGCTAAATGGAGCTCTCCCACGTCCTTGCATACTTCCACGTTCCTGAGAAGGCCGTGTAAACACAACCAGGCTGAGCTGACCCTTGTGGAATAAACTAATGCTGAGGTGAAGGGATACTGGTTGCACTGACCGCTATGAAAGTTTTGAGATTGCAGTGGTGACAAAAAGTCAAAATTTTGTTTTTTTCTCAACTTGCTTCCATGTATTCACTCATTAATTTCTCCTACTCATGTAGTTGGCTATGTTATGCTAAAACAAAACATGATCATGTGCAGGTGACTCTCAGTCCTACAGCCGGCTCCAAAAATACAACATACAATAGGTACAGTGCAGTCGAGCATATGGAGAGGTTTCAGTGCAACAAAGGCAGACACACTGCAGACATCGAGTCTGCTTAAGGATCCTGTTCCATACATGCAGGATATTAAATATATTTACATTCACCTGCTGCTTTAACTAAAAGTAATTAGAAATGAACAACATACATGCCAGGGTAAAGTAAGACACTTTGAGTAGGAAGTACTACGTCTACTTATGAGATTGGAAGAGATGAGTTCTCCTGAGAGTCTAAAGAACAGCAACTCCACTCTGGAAGCAGCTGGAAGCTTGTTTGTCCACTATTGGCCCAAAAACGGAGCTAAAAATGCTTCATGCATCAGTATGGAGGTGCAGGAAACTGAGAAAATTCTAACTTCCCAAAAGTTTGGAAACACTCGTATGTGCTCAAAAATATGCTTAATTTATAACCTTTGGGGAAAGCTCCTTTAATAATACAATATACTGAGTTTCACCCGCTTTAATTAGTTCAGCAACAGCCGAGAGGACCTTCCGAAAACCCATTTAGTTAGTTTACAGGTTTTAGCCCCATCAGTTTGTCTAATTATCAGAAAAATGTCGGAACTGATCTGCTTATCTCACAAGTTTTAGGATAGGTTGATATTTCATTCAAAATCAAACTGGAAGGATGAAGAGTTCATTTCTACAACTAGGGGCTGCGCGGTGGCGCAGTGGTTAGAGTTGTTGCCTTGCAGCGAGAAGGTCCTGGGTTCGCTTCCCGGCCTGGGATCTTTCTGCATGGAGTTTGCATGTTCTCCCTGTGCATGCGTGGGTTCTCTCCGGGTACTCCGGCTTCCTCCCACAGTCTAAAAACATGACTGTTAGGTTGATTGGTCTGTCTAAATTGTCCTTAGGTGTGAATGTGTGTGTGTGTGTGTGCATGATTGTTTGTCCTGTGCGTCTCTGTGTTGCCCTGCGATGGACTGGCTCTCTGTCCAGGTTGTACCCTGCCTGATTGCCCGTTGACCGCTGGAGATAGATCCCTGAAGTGTGACAGGTTGATCTGGTGCAGGACTAAAACGGACAGAGGGGTGAAGACAGTTTAAACTTTAATGTCTTTTCCAGTCTTTCCCTCAGTCTTGGTATAAATTGTGAGACCCTGACATATAAAAGTGGTGAGAATGGAGCACTGACAAGAGCACGGCAGGAATATTATTATTACAGTAACATGTGTTGGAGCCAGACTTGGCTGCAGGAACGTATTCCTGACAGAGGCACAGCTCGTCACAGCTGTTCACTAAAGCCAAAAATCACTTTTTAAACTTTTATTCTCGTTAACAGATCTTTTCTTCAGTATTGTTTTGCTGCAACACTGCATTTGCCTTTTGAAAAAAAAAAATTTCAAACTAAACTTGGAAAGGAGTGCAGGTACTGCCTGAAACATACATCAACTTTCTTTAAAGAACCTGCATCATTATATTTTACACCTTCCAGGGAAAAGACGGGCACAATATAAGATAAATGACTATTGTTGGCACAATTGAGATGCCATATGTTATAAAATATAAGTTATTATTGCGAGCCATTTTTTCAACTCAAAGATAAGACAGTTGGATTTGATGAAATCTCACCTTCCTTTGTGTGAATTCCACAATAGTACACAGCTGCACACCCATAGATTCATACCCAATCCTGTCCCACCCAGGGGGCGGGCTTAGCAAAAATAAATAAATAAATAAATAGACGTTTCCCTTACATTACATTACCGTACAGGGAAAGACTGCCTCTTTTGTGGAACTCTAAAACAAATCATGCATAAATCCTGAAAAAAGGGAAAACTCTGGATTGCCACTTTAAAGGTATGGGATCATTCGTTAAAATAATACATTTGCAGTGGTCTCTAGTAAGAAATAATACCTTGTACGTCATACTCTGGGCAAACAAAGCTCTGATGAACTGGTTTCAGGAAGTAGAGGTGAGCCACATCAGAGTAAAGGTTCAGACGACAGGATCTGGAGCCTTATTTCCTTATATTTGGACATCTCGCCTCGGGTTGGATAACAGCAACACAACTCTACCACTGGCTCCATTTGCTTTGCAATGTTGATGTTTTATCAATAACACAAGCGTGATGGAGTTCTGTTGTGTGGTGAAGCTGCTAGTGCTAATGATTAGCGTCTACTAGCTGTGACGTTCCTTGCTGTTTCTTGGACGCTAAACCAACATCAGCCTTCCCCGTTGTGAGTCAAGATGGGTGAGTCCATGAATGTTAAGTGACAGTGTGAAGTAGATCTGTCAGGCTTTTCTAATCCTAGACTTTCATCGTCTGTTTTCTATCAGAGGTTATGCAATCCACCATTAAACCAAGAAGAAGGAAATCAGGTTTGATATCGCTGTTTGATGTCATATATGCTGTTGTTCCTCTCCACTGCCAGGATTAAAGCCATGAAAAACACACAGCTCCACTTCTGGAATGATGCTGAGAGTAAATAAGCCATTAGGTCACTTGTATTGACGTAATCTTCATAGATATGAAGGCTTGCATCAAAAATCTAACCCAATCCTATCTTTAGAGGCGTGGCGCTTCTGGGACACACCTGAAAATTGCCGCATCGCGGCTGGTTTGAATCACCCCCATAGACTCTAACAGATTCTATTTGAAGCTGTGACTTTCCGCTGCCATTCTGCGCCGCTGATGCTTCCAGTGTGCGTAGGGGTAAGACCATATCGGTGTATTAGACATCCCTATTAATCTCTTAAGTCCACTCCCCTTCAGCTCAGTTTACGGTAAAGTTTTAAAATTACAGGTTTATCTTCAATAATAAAGCTTAGGTTGTTGTTACGTAATCAAAACTGAAATTAGAGGACAGTTGGCACACAGGCCAAGCAGCTACAAGCATAAAAACCCTGAAAAGCTACGAGAATAACGCTGATTATCCTCTGGCACCTGTCAGGCTGCAGGTGGTGAAGTATTAAAGATAAAAAGTTAGAAACAGAAAAATGAGTAAAGCTTAGGATCTGAACCACTTTAAATAGCTAAATTGTACAGAGATGTAAGACTTTCCAATGGGTTTTTATTTTACCTTCGCCTATCACTTCATCATTACTTTATTTAACTTAGAAATCCTTTTGAAAAGTGAAAATCTGCCTCCAGGGTGTTCAGATGGAAGAACTAAAACAAAATAATCAGCCCTGCGCACATGCACTTAAAAGAAAACGAAGCCCAGAAAACTGGAATCACATCTAATCTAAAAGAACATGAAGCATCTGAATATTTAATCTTAACAGCCTGGTCACAAAATATCAGAAATCAATAGAGTACAGCGTTTGCCACTGAGTCAGAAAGCATCTGAGGAAGAATCTGATTATTTAACCTTCTTTTTCTAAGTTCAGGACAAATGGCAGACAGTGAGGGATAAAGGAACAGAACCAAGAGACTCACCAGTTTTACCCAAAACTGTAAATCTGCAAAAGAAAATGTGCTTTGTCTTTTATTCCTGATCAGCAAACCTTAAAATATTATGAAAAATATCAGTTTTTCTGCACCCATGAGGATATATTTTAGTTTCTGAAGTGACTAAAAACTCAAAACGATCCTGGATTAAAAATACCTTCTTCAGTGAGCCGTTCAGATTCTCGGGGGATTTCTGCAGATGAGGAAAATGGAAGTATTTGAAAATAAAGTTGCTAGCTAAGCTGTTTTTGTGCTAGCGGGAGCTCTTATGCTAGGTACAGAAAGCTTTATCATAAGATAATAACAAGCTTTAAAGGATTATTGGTTGTAATTTGTGCTCAGACTTATGTTTGTATTTGTGTTGCCTGTTTTACCAACCTCTACACACACACACACACACACACACACACACACACACACACACACACACACACACACACACACACACACACACACACACACACACACACACACACGCACACACACACACACACATGCAAGCACATACAGAGTTGAACAATAGGTTGGTTTGACACTGCTTCTACACAAAAAATACCTTTTTAGATACGACTTTTGAACAGAAACTTTGTTCATTGGATTCAAAAGTTGGTATTTCTTAATATTTGGAGGTGATTAACTCATAATGGTGTTTTCCAGGAAGTACTTTAAGTTAATTTCAACCCAATCACTGAAGAGATGACTTTTGCCTTTCTTGATCTTTGTGGATTCAAAGTAGCAAACCCGCTCAACTTTTATAACTAATAAAATGAAATATTTAAATTAAACTAATGAGGGAAATAAAAGCCCAAACAACACAAACTTGGATGACAAAGCTTTGGGGCTCTGACCCATCTGCTGATAAAAAACTGCAGACATGGCCTCTGAGCAGCTGCAAAATAGACAGAATGAACCTTCCTGTTGGAATGAAACAAATTAGAATATGTAACTATAAAGCTCACAGGCTGCCTTGGGTTTTGCTTTCCTAATTTCATTTAGCTGGCATTTAAAAAAGAAGCGAGTCATTTTTTTATTGCCTTTGATGCGGAGTGTTGGCTGGCCGCCCCTTGTCTTGAGTCCATTTGGTGTCTTACTGTGTCCGTAATTTTCAAACTTATTTCCTACATTACAGCCCTGAAAGCAAGAGCAAAGCACAACAAAACACACAATAAAGCATCTTAAACAGAGGGGGTTTAATTAAAGAAGAAAACACATTTTTCTCCTGTGAACACTCTTGCTTTATATGCATGCAAATCAACCCCAAATCTCAATTATTTACAACATTTTTTCTTGTTTTTCACACTGTAAAAAACCACAGCGAGACTAAATGTGAGCAGAATCTCGATAGGTGCTGCGTTGATTTATCTTTTCACAATGTTCAAGGATTTCTTTGGATTGTGTGGTGAGACATACGTGTTTTATATGTTGATTTGTTTTGCTCACAGTGGCTGACGGCATCGGTTGGCTCGTATTGCTACAGAGCCTCTGGAGATGCCGGCGCTAACAATAACAACGACAACACCCTCTGTGAGAGGAGATGCAGCAAGGTGGTTACAAAAACAGAAAGAGACAGAGAAGAGGAGAGAGTGTGAGGGTGGAAAGTAAAGGAGGAAGGAGGGAGGGAGGGAGGAGAACATAGAGCATGCAAAACCACTGATTGGAAAGTTTTCGATCTCTTCTTTACCTCCTTCTCTCCCTTCAAGACATCTATTCCATCATTTAGTCTTTTCTCCGCTTGTCGTTTCTCCAGGGGAAGAGAGTGTCTGCATGTGTGTGGTTTATTTTGTGTTAGTCGGGTTTAGTCCCGCAAGGAGCCAATTAAAGCGCAGACTTGGCCATGAGGATGAGGCAGAACTTGGGAGTATGAGTTTAAATGTGTGTGTGTTTTCTCAATGCACCTTCTTGCAAAACAAAAAACAACAGCTGTGAAAGGAATAATACCTGGAGGAAATGGCAAGGAAAAATTGCCAATCTCTCACACTCACACACACACACACACACACACACACACGCACGCACGCACGCACGCACGCATGCACGCACACACACACACACACACACACACACACGGTTACTCACCTTGTCATGATGTGCATCAAGAAACTCCCTTACGGCTGCTAGTGCCTCGTGAACCGCCTGTTCAGGTGGATATCCTGGACACAAACACACGATATCAAGAAAATGTACACTCTGCTCGCGAGAACAGGTGCAGCGACAGATCAGTGTCGTAGCATCGGGCCGCTGTCTGTTCTTTTTTTTCTTTTCCAGACAGGCTAGTGTTTTTCTTTCTACAACTCTAACAGTCTGCTCTCAGTTTTCTCACTCCGTCTCATCTCGACACCACAAATCCAGCGAGGTACAAACACAACACACTTGTTGGTAAAGAGCTGACTTCCAGAGGAGGACTGTGGGCAGAGAACAGCTGAGAGCTTCTACTGCTGGAAGAGAAAACTAGGAGCATTCATCATCTGGCCCCAACCAGCACGTAATCCATGTGATTAACCAGTACTTAATTCTGTAAGTCAGTGGGGGCCTGAGCGTGCTGCTGGTAGAGATGGACCAGTTAAGATTTTAATGGCTGACTCCAAGTTCAGATGTTAGTATAAATCTGATTTCTGTCTAAGAACAATCAACAGCAACACAAAGATATATATTAGATACACCCACAAACGTCTTTAAAACAGAATGTGCCTTTTGATCACAGAACAATATTTTCTACAAGACTTCAATTTGAAGTTCTTGTTCACTGAAACTGTGTAAGACTTGTTCCTTTTTTTAGATCAAATCGTTCACATGCATGCTGAATGTGAAGCTTTTCTCCAGTCCTCATCACCTGCGTTAGCTGCAAAAAGAAAATGGTCAGAAAAAAGCCAGTCTCTTCTACCTCACGTAGAAAAATTAGCATTCATGGACTCACCCATATATTGCCCACTACAGAGTCCAGACCTTAAAGTGATGGTGTGTATTTTCCCTGGCGATAGGGAGCAGTACAGTACATACCTAAATCACTGCAAGCAAGCTGCGGTTTTCAGTTCAAGTAAGACCTTACCAACAGATGGCCATTAAGGCCAAAAATCGTGACACAATGTTGGATCTAGTACTTCATTAGATCGTTCAACCACCAGCAAAATGACAAGCCCATCAGACTCCCTTTCATCGAGTCGCAACGAGCGAAGACGTAAATGTGTAGGTATCTGCAGGTTTGAGGGAGCAAAATTTAAGACTTTTAAAAACCCTTTTTAAGGCCACTTTGACCAAATTTAAACTATTTTTAAATTAAAATTAAGCTATAATTTCCAGCTATCACCTGGAACTGGTGCTAACCACGTCGTGAACGTGGGATTAGCCATCCAGTTACCATTAAACTTGCACTTCCCCATGACGCAAGCTCCCACTAGCTTAATCAGCTAATGTGCTCATTTAAAATCGCCCCTTTTCACAACCAACTGAATGTGTACGGTTCCACTTAGGCCAATATCATACACAAAAAATGCTGAACGCTAACTAGAAATTCATGAAAATTTTATAGAAATAAAAGAATCTTGTTTATTGGGTCTTTGGTCATTTAAGACCTTTGGAAACTGTATTTAAGGATTATTTGTAATTTTTAAGGATTTTTACTGCCTTAAATTTGGAAAAGCAAATTTAAGACTTTTTAAGGACCCGCGGATACCCTGCGTAAAATGTTTATGAATGGGGAAAGATTTCAGCATTTTGCAAGCTAAGCCTAACATGTTTTACTAGCAGACATTTCTGTTACTTTCTTTTGTTATACGAAATTACCCCAATGACAAAAAATTACTCATTTCAGGTTAGTTTTACACCATATCTTCGTGACTGTCGCTAGTTAAAAAAATAATAAATAAGCATAACGATAAATGTTGTTACCTGTTGAGCAGAAACCATGTGACCTTGGCATGACTCCTCAGACTTTGATGGTCCTTAAGTTGACTCCATCGAGAGAATGCAATGCTGAAGTTAACTCAAGTTTCCTGGGGGCGTTGCTGCTTGGCTTAGTTTTCTTTGACTTACAACCATGTGGAAAGTATATGTGTGATCTGCTATTTCACACAGTGAATAGCTACACCTAGCCGCTGGCCTTCAGGTGTTAATAGAACTCTTCATTTAAACTTTTGGTAGAGGGCTTGTCTACAGATCAGTAAATGTGTTTTGTCCACATGGGCTTGCATAGAAGGAAACATGGCATCTAATATGGTGTCCCCCAGAGACTTAGGGAGTTTCTCAATGTCAAGGAACCTTGCCTTGATGGCTTGGTCCGTCCCCGGTTGCTGGGGAGATACGTCATCAGGAACATCAAGGTGTGTTCCAATGTTCATGTGCTACGGAGGCTTCTGTTCTCCGTTTGTTAGCCATTTAGCTATCTAGGATTGGAGGTGTCCTGTAGCCTGGTCTTGGTCAAAAATTTCCCAGAATACAGCGCAGCATTTTCCAAAGGATGATGAATCAGGAGCCAGCAGCAGCTACTTCGGGGGAAATTTTCCAGTTTAAATGTAAGCCAACAAATTGAAGCTGTCGGGTTGATTTCTAAAATGTTTTTTTTTTTTTAGATCCAAAGCAGTTTTCTATGGTTGGTTAGTCGCTTAGTAGTTGCAGCTTCGGCGGTTAGCAGGTAGTAACTCGCTTACATATTAGACATAGCTAGAGGCTGACTGATATATCGAGCCGATACATTCAACTTTCACTTTATCGGCCATCGGCCAAAATCATTTTTAAAAGACAATTAAATAAATAGATAAATAAACAAATAAATAAATAAATCAGGCACCTGTGTGGCCAACTGCCACCACTACTAGATTGAAGAAAGGACCCAAAGGACCCCAACAAACCATTTAAAAAAATGTTTTGAGTTAGTTTTTTATTTGGAGTTCAATAAATATTAAGAGATTTATTGACTTATTTAATTTATAATGCACAAAATGAGTGTTCAAATGTATTTCACAATCAATGTGCTGCTATAACGTATATGTGTGCATGTACATATTGTATATATATGTGTGTGTATGTGTACTGTGTATATATATATATATATATATATATATATATATATATATATATATACATATATATATATATATATATATATATATATATATATATATAGTATATATATATATATATATATATATATATATATATAGTTTATATCGATCTCAATAATCGGCTTTAGATATCGACCACCGGCAACAAAATTCTCTGAAAAACCAGTATTGGCATCGGCCTTAAAAAAAACCATATCAGTCGGCCTCTAGAATAACCAATATATAAACAATTTAGAAAGGAAAAGGCTCGTTATACATTTATATTGAAACTCATACTTATAAAATATAACTTTACCCATGTGTCCATGGGAGTCGCGGTCACGTAAGTTTGTTCCATTTAGCCGTTTACTTTGACCTACGTAAGGACAGTGTCCTTGTAAGCAAGGCGCCTTGACATTGAGAAACACCCTTAGACCCACACGCATGTATTTTAGACTCAGTGTTTATGGTTGAGGTTTTTATGTTACAAAGCCGGCAATATTTTTCAATGACTGGGCATCACTTAATTCATTTTGAACAACATTATTGATGAATATTTCAAGAAATTAACGGTACAGACCACACTCTCACCTTAACCCCACTGAGCATCTTTGGGATGTTCTGGAGAAGGCTTTGTTAGGCGTTCCGACTCCATCTTCATCAATACAAGATCTTGTAACACATTAATGCAGCATTGAATGGAATTAAGTCTTGTGACATTGCAGAAGGTTATCCACAATGCCACAGTGATTGCGTGTCGGGGAGTGTATTTTATCAATGACTATGTTTTCTGGCTGATTTAGAGTCAGAAATTTTACTTTTAATTTTTTTATATTAGCCAAAGAAGTTATGGAAAATCCCTGTTATTGTTCAACCCCTCAGATATTTGATTAATATTTTAATTTCATTTGAGTCACCTTAGTGTAATTTTCACAACATTAAAGTGGTCAGTTTGCTTAGATCGAAATTAACACCTGATAAAAGATAATTTCAGATGAATAAATAAACATTTATCTGATGGAAGAGTTAAGCAGAGCAGCCTGTGCAGGATTACAAATCACAAATCAGTTCTGCATCATTTATTGTGCAAATTCACCACAACCATCTCTGCAAGCTAAGTTCCTTATACCACGAATGAGCAGCGATTAACTTAGATTTTGGAGATATGACCTCTGCCATGACCTAACGCACTCCTGAGGATCTGATTAGGGTAAATCCTGCTCTTATGAAGGGAAACTGCATGGACCGTGTACGAGTCAGTGCTGCAGAGTCCTTATTTGGAGAGACGGCAAACAAAGAAAAAACTTTTTTGTGATGAAAGATCCAAACAGTGGAGACATTTTCTTGACATCTTTTGTGTAGAGTTCAGACTCATCTTCTTCCTCACTGTTTATTTGTTTGTGTCTTCCTGAAGACAGGAAAACTGCTTTTATTTTCTAAAATTACGTATCCTTTTATTACACTGCAAATATCCTGACCTAGAAAACTAACAAAGAAAGACAGTGATGATGGGAAACAGGTGCAACAGGGAAAACTATATGAAAAAAATCTTATCAGGATTCTGGCCTGTTTTTATCTTATTATTGTAGCAGCAGCAGCAGAGTGGTGTCAGCCAGACCTCACACTAGAGCCACCCTGGGGTGTGTTTAAGCACTATCCTTAACTCTCTTTTCTGCCAGCGTGAAGGGGATTACAGTCAATCTGACACAATCTCCAAACTAATCTATCTTAATCTGCCACTCATAATCCAAGGCGTTAATCTGTAAACCTCCTGCGGGTCGGAGGAGATAATGCGACGGGAGGGTCGACACTCCGGTTAAAAAAAGCAGATACTGGAAACAAGTGTGTGATGGGAGAACATGACCGGTGAAGAGAGTATTAAAACACACACAGACACACACACGCACACACACGCACACACACACACACACACAGGAGAGGAAAGAGAAACACAAACACTGACCGTAGATTCCTGTGGAGACGCAAGGGAAAGCCTGCAGAGAAAAGAGGACAGACAGATTGGTTACAGTCTGCTGTAATTCACTTTCATCAAACACATATTTTTGTTTCGCTCCACTACGAGGACACACAATACAATGTTGAGTTCCTAAAACTCTCTTTGGTAAAGACAACTTACTTGCTCTTATCTAAACCCGGTACCTGGTCATTAATTCCTGGGACAATCTCACAGCGTCTCTGCTGCACTCCAAACCTGATGGGTTTATGTGTTGAGAGCATCTTCTCCTGTTCAGTGACTCTCACTACAGTATTAATCTAAGCCAAACATGCCTCAATAAAATCACCAGAAATAAATATTGTTGCTCTTTTTTCCTGTAGATTCAAAATGTTTTTGCCAAACGGTTTCCAAATAATACCAGGCAGAATCTATTTGAAATAGATTCTAAAAAAATTAAAGAAATAAATAAAAAATAAAATTCTATCTATCTATCTATCTATCTATCTATCTATCTATCTATCTATCTATCTATCTATCTATCTATCTATCTATCTATCTATCTCTCTCTCTCTCTCTCTCTATATATATATATATATATATATATATATATATATATATATATATATATATATATATATATATATTGAGCAAAATTGCTAAAACCTTGAGGCAGAATCTCACCAGGCTGGCAAATTGAGAGGCCTATGATTTTCCAACATTTTTGTGAGGGATCACACATTTCTCATGAACCTTGCATCTCATTTTCAACTAGTTCAAAATGTCGTTTCTTATAAAAAAAAAAAGCTGCAGATTACAACAGGAGCTGGTCTGAAACCTTTGCCATTTCCAAAATATTGTTTTTTCACTGTTGCGTCATTCCAGTTATTTATATTCAGATAAATATAGAGATACACGTGATTAAGCTGTGTTTGTGCAGTGAAGGAGTGAGGGTTGGGGTGAAAGTGATGAACTGGTAGAGTATTATTGATGTATGAAGGTTGTCTTTTTAATCCGGATATATTGTTGTTTTATTCACATAAACACCTTTGTGCTGATTTGATCATGAAAACAGGACTACAGATTGAGTTAAATTTAGTTTCCAGGAACCAGAATTTGATGAAAATGTGAAAAAGTTTAGCAGGTGTTGGACAGTAAATGATGACTAAAATGAGCAGAAATCGCAGAAGAAATTGAGAAACAACTAGACAACAAGGAGAGTTGCACAACACTCGTTATTTCTGTTTGCTATGCATGCAGCTGGGTTTCCATACAACTGTTCATAAATGTGTGATGAGAACCAAATCAGTGTGATTCCAACAGGAAATGAGCCCATTAAAGAGTATCAGAAGTGAGTCATGGTTAGGACCAACCGTTACTGGACAGTGATGGTTAAGGATACTAGGAATCTAGACAAACAGCAGGTCGGTCTAGCCACGCTCCATTGTAGCCTCAGCAGGTTAACCGTTGGCTCTGCGCTCTATGTATGTAGAGCTATGATGGGCAAGCTTAGCACTATCTGTCACGATCAGAACTTGGAAGACCCGTGATGACCCCAAACACAGTAAAGTTCCTTTAAAAATACTTTAAAGGATGTGGCGTTACCAGAAGAGGGCGAGGCTGGAGACAGAGTCGGAGAGGAGGCATGGATCAAAAACCAGAACGAGGCGAAGCAGGTAAATGGAGCAGGCTAGAGAAGGGGTCAAAGACAGGCGAGGGTCGAGATGGCAGGCAGAGTCCTAGGCAGGGGTCAGGCGTAAAAACGAGGTCCGGAGACTGTGATCAGGCAAGGTGCAAGGCTGGAAAATCTACTGACAAAGAGCGTTCAATAATCTGGCAGGGAACTGGTGGCTGGCTGGTGAATATATAGCAGGGGGAGCAGGTGAGTGAGATGAGCTGATGACAGAGTGTAGGTGATGGTAATTAAGTGGCTGAGGGCTTGATTGAGGAGGCAGAGAAGGGTGTAAGACTGGGAGTCATGACACTATCATGGTCTTTTTTATGTATTTTTTATGACGGCAGCAGGGCTTTTTTAGACTTCTTTTACTTCTTCAATGGTGTATGGTGGACTAACACACTTTCTGTTGCTATGCATCCCTCACTTTTATGGCCACAGCCTTCTGTGTTTTTCTGTCTTTCTTTATGATGACCTTACTGTTTAGTCCCAGCTGTGTGTTTATTGTCTATTTCACTTTATAAAATTTGATGAAAGAGAGTGATCCTAAAATACATGAAACTCATTTTCATCATCACCATACATCCATGTAACTCCCTGTTATCCTAGATGTTGCGGACACAACAGCAACGATGTTTGTTTCTCTGATCGGTCCTAGCACTGTCCAAATGTGTGCAGAGACAGTTTGAAAGACAACAGTAGATAATGCTGCACTACTGAGCTCTGTCTATGGGTCAAGCTCAGACTATAATGCCACTTACCCACTAGCATTGGCTCCGCTCCACTCCACCCGCCCCAGCCTGGCCGCGTTCATTCCACACTGCCTTGGGAATGTCGACATGACTGTGCACATGGGCGGTGCCATCTTCTGTGGCTTGTGATGTCATGAGCACATCTCCAAACACGTGGGTGGGGCAAAAGAGAGCGGAGAAGTCTGCGGTGTCTCCATTATTAAACTACACCGGCCTGAGCTGTATTGCTGTTGGAGAATCTCAGACGCAGATTTTGCATCTTGCTTTGCTGTGTCTAGCAGCACTGTGTGTGTGTGTGTGTGTGTGTACAACTATTGTACTTAGAACAAAAACCGTTATATTCACTAATCTTCTAAAGACCGATGGGCCTTGTTAGGACCTAAACCCGGTCCTAATATGGCAGACCCCATTTTAGGCTTAGGAGTGAGGTTTAGAGGTCAAATGTGAAATGAGTTTTTGTTACAGTTTGGTTCAGGAATACACTGGTTATGGTAGGGTAAGGGTAAGGGGTTGGAATAAATGCAGTTACTAAAGTCAATACAAAGTCCTAATATGGATAGAAATACAAGATTGCATTTGTGTGTGTGTGTGTGTGTGTGTGTGTGTGTGTGTGTGTGTGTGTGTGTGTGTGTGTGTGTGTGTGTGTGTGTGTGTGTGTGTGTGTGTGCCTCCTTACAGCAGCAAGAGACAGATCAAAACGGCTTCAGTCAGAGGCTCGTCAACTCCCCAGCATCCAGAATGATACTGAATTGTGAATGCAGGAAGCCCCCACAGGTTGATCATATCCACCGGTCGGAGGCTCCCTCTAATGGTGCACGTGATTTTGAGCTGGCCAATCACCAAGCAGTGGGTGTGTCACCCCGGTTCGGCTGCAGACCGCCACGGGAAGAGGGCTGAAAAGACATCTGGTTGGGTTGCGAGTGGGAAAATCCAAGGCTACCTAAATGAGAACACACCCAACACGGTCCAGGCGGAGTGATGCCGATGCTAGTGTGTAAGGGCCATATATTTACATAAATAGGATGACTTGCCAGGCTAGGTTTAAGGGCCTTTCACTCTAAATTATGTACAAAAACATTTATTTAGCCAAGTTTTCTCTTTGTTTTTCATGCCAATGCAACCACACAGCTCTCGTTCCAAAGTAATTCCTTGATTGTGATTCAGCATCAGGTGATGTTTGTTTTCATTTGAACGCTCCAGGTGGTAAGCTGATTTAAGGCATTGATATCCAGGTTTTAACAAAACTCAGTGAAATCTTAACCCTGGGGTTTTATCAGCCTGATAAATCAAATGTTCGTTTAGCTGTGAGTGACACAAACCAGTTTGTTCCAGTGTGATGACAACTCGATGGATGCCAGCTGGTCTCACTGTTTACAAACTGTAGACTGATTAAAGGTGTGAAACTGCAAATGATGGTTTTTATCATCACAATGTGAAACTTTCCCAAACAAACCAGGTGAACAGAGTTGTTGGAGGAATGCCCATTCTTCTTCAGCTTTGCATTTAACGGTTTCTCACAGATAATGAAACTTTCGGTCTGGCAGCTGAATGCCTCTAAAGACAGCTGTTGTTCAAAGGACTTCACATCTATTTTCTACAAATGCAGGACGGAGACCATGAACCACAGCTTCACCACTCTGAATCCTTTCATTTCACTGCACAGCTGTCAAATCTCTATTTTGTGACATAATGCAATGATTCACAGTCATCTTCTTTCAATGTGTAAATAGAAATCTCATATTTATTCATAAAAATATATCTGTTTAGAAAGGCTTATTGGTTCCAATGAACCAAAAACAAATGTGAGGCTTTATATGCCTAAATAACCCCTATCAAATGGGGTTTTCAGGTTTGACAACATTTTTACAGCCATGTTTCTATTTTTCTCTAAAAACAACATTTTCTGGCTTCATGGCATCAGCTGAACCTCAACTACTGATAATCCAGCCGGTTTTAAAAGATGCATTTTTGCAACCAGTTAAAACAGCAGGAGCAGCATTAAAGTGTTTTAAAAATCTCTCTTCGTGTTTTATTCTAAAGGAGCAACAGCAGGAAACAAATGGCTCACATTAGTATTCAAATAAGATTCCCCCAGCACGAGTGTTGGAGAGCAACAAGTAAAGAAATGTGTTTGATCGACTCGACTCGGTTACAAACATGAACCTCAGCAGTGCATTGATTCTATCAGATGACTGAAAACAGCACATGCCGTTTGAAACTTGCTAAGTAAAATGAGTTAAAACATGCTACAGCTTTAAATATTAGTAGGGAAGAGATGTCGACAAGACGAGACGACAGGAGATGAGACAACACGACACGACTAAATACGGCAAGATAAACCTGTATTCGTCCCACAAGCGGGAACTTTGCTTTTCTAATGAAAACAACGGTTAACAGAGGTGTGGAGAAAATCATCACGGAGTGGTGATGATCTATAGACATCACACACCTGGGCCCAGAGCTAGCATTACTCAGACAGGTAACAGATTACACTAACACACCTGAAGGGGTAACAAAACTCCATGCACCCCAGCATACTGCTATCATAAAAACCACTGCTACATCATTTAATGCAGGTCTCGTTCACTGAGAGACTGTGTACTAGGGCAGAGGTGGCAAAAGGGTTAAGTGCCGCCCTATAACTGGAGGGTTGCAGGTTTGTGTCCCGCTCAGTCTGTTGTGGTTGTTGTTCCCTTAACCACCTTGTCTACTGGTGGTGGTCAGAGGGACCATTGGTGTTCACCTGCCTCGTCTCTGTCAGTGCACCCCAGGGCAGCTGTGGCTACATTGTACCTCATGACCATCAGTGTGTGAATGTACAGTGGGGCAAAAAAGTATTTAGTCAGCCACTGATTGTGCAAGTTCTCCCACTTAAAATGATGACAGAGGTCAGTAATTTACATCATAGGTACACTTCAACTGTGAGAGACAGAATGAGAAAAAAAAAATCCATGAATTCACATGGCAGGATTTTTAAAGAATTTATTTGTAAATCAGGGTGGAAAATAAGTATTTGGTCACTTCAAACAAGGAAAATCTCTGGCTCTCACAGACCTGTAACGTCTTCTTTAAGAAGCTTTTCTGTCCTCCACTCGTTACCTGTATTAATGGCACCTGTTTGAACTCATTATCTGTATAAAAGACAAATGTCCACAGCCTCAAACAGTCAGACTCCAAACTCCACTATGGCCAAGACCAAAGAGCTTTCGAAGGACACCAGGAAAAGAATTGTAGACCTGTACCAGACTGGGAAGAGTGAATCTACAATAGGCAAGCAGCTTGGTGTGAAAAAATCAACTGTGGGAGCAATTATCAGAAAATGGAAGGCATACAAGACCACTGATAATCTCCCTCGATCTGGGGCTCCACGTAAGATCTCATCCCGTGGGGTCAAAATGATCACGAGAACGGTGAGCAAGAATCCCAGAACCACACGGGGGACCTGGTGAATGACCTGCAGAGAGCTGGGACCACAGTTACAAAGGCCACCATCAGTAACACACTACAACGGCAGGGAATCAAATCCTGCAGTGCCAGATGTGTTCCGCTGCTGAAGCCAGTGCATGTCCAGGCCCGTCTGAAGTTTGCCAGAGAGCACATGGATGATACAGCAGAGGATTGGGAGAATGTCATGTGGTCAGATGAAACCAAAGTAGAACTTTTTGGTATAAACTCAACTCGTTGTGTTTGGAGGAAGAAGAATACTGAGTTGCATCCCAAGAACACCATACCTACTGTGAAGCATGGGGGTGGGAACATCATGCTTTGGGGCTGTATTTCTGCTAAGGGGACAGGACGACTGATCCGTGTTAAGGAAAGAATGAATGGGGCCATGTATCGTGAGATTCTGAGCCAAAACCTTCTTCCATCAGTGAGAGCTTTGAAGATGAAACGTGGCTGGGTCTTCCAACATGACAATGATCCCAAACACACCGCCCGGGCAACAAAGGAGTGGCTCCGTAAGAAGCATTTGAAAGTACTGGAGTGGCCTAGCCAGTCTCCAGACCTCAACCCCATAGAAAATCTGTGGAGGGAGTTGAAAGTCCATGTTGCTCGGCGACAGCCCCAAAACATCACTGCTCTCGAGAGGATCTGCATGGAGGAATGGGCCAAAATACCAGCTACTGTGTGTGCAAACCTGGTAAAGACCTATAGTAATCGTTTGACCTCTGTTATTGCCAACAAAGGTTATATTACAAAGTATTGAGTAGAATTTTTGTTATTGACCAAATACTTATTTTCCACCCTGATTTACAAATAAATTCTTTAAAAATCCTGCCATGTGAATTCATGGATTTTTTTTCACATTCTGTCTCTCACAGTTGACGTGTACCTATGATGAAAATTACTGACCTCTGTCATCATTTTAAGTGGGAGAACTTGCACAATCGGTGGCTGACTAAATACTTTTTTGCCCCACTGTATGTGTGTGCGTGGGTGAATGACTCTTTGTGCTGTGAAGCACCTTTGAGGGGGTTGTAGAACCTAGAAGGCGCTTTATAAACACAGGCCATGCTGCATGCTGAAACCCCTATTACCTGCATGAGCTGCAGAAAGGAAATAGACAGGAAGACGGTCGGGTCAGAAAAGGCCAGTCTCTCTTATGTCACAGGGAAAGGTAGGACTCGTGGCTTTGCGCATCTTGGCTTGTGAGAGGAAGCAGTGCGTCTCAGCAAGTAAAAGCTAACCGTTAGCGTTAGCAACTCCACAACATGGCGAAACATGTCCAGGCTTGTGTTATTTGTGGACATAAAGCATCAAGACTGCATTTTTTACCTAAGAAAGAAGAGTGAACAAGGCAGTGGAAGAGTCACTTTGCTGTTAGCCAATGAGAGTGAATATTAATAAGACTCCACATCCTGCCATTCTCTGGCTCCCACTCTTCTGACTCCTACCCCCTGAAACAGGTGTGCAAGAGCCTTTTCTCCTCAGAAAACGGTTCACGAGGCATTCAGTCATACCGGACACCACCAAAATAAAAGTGAATGAGACCTTTAAAGCCACAATGAAACACTTCTTAAACGTTCTCTTTAGAATTATTTTCACCCTCATTTTTTGTCTTCTTTTCTTTTTTCTATTTTTTTGTGACCATCAATTCAATCTTACTGAACTTCTCATTCTTTGCAAACTAAAGTGCTGAGACTTTGGCAGAGGAATGTCCTGCTACCCACAGCAGATGATGACTTTGAAGAGAACCAAATTTTGTTCCAGTCTCTGAACGTTTTCCTTTCCAACCCTTTCCTAGATCAGATTCGCCCTTTCTGATTAAAAACGTATCACTGAAAAACTACTTTAAGCCAATGCAACCCGTGTTTAGCAGAATCCTGAAAACCAACAGGTTCTGCTGTGAGTCAAGCTGCCAGAGAACTTTAAATCTGGCAGATTTTCAACCTGCTGTTGAGTATGGCGGTGCTGGCAGATGCCCGGACACTCGCTCTGTGTCCTGCTCAGTTCATTTAACCTGCCTGCTGAGCTTTAACACCCAGTGATGGCAGATGTGACTCACCAGTCCCTAAACACCATAAATAAACACAGGACATTGAAGGATACACTAAACTGGCTGCTCTGCTGGGTGAATTTGAAGAAAAACACATAGCTGCCGCTGAAGAACTGTGTTAAATTTTAGTCCTAACACAACAAATGTACTGCAGTCCCTTTGACAGGTCCTGAGTCAACCTGTTTGCTTCGGTGTCAGCTCTGACCTTATTTCAGTGTTTCTCTCTGACTTTGTTCTCCATCAAACCTCCATCCTGGTGTGTTTTATAAAACCTTCCCACAGTTCAACACTCCCACCTTTTTTCCCATTTCCTTCATCGATCTCAGCATGGATGTAGTTTTCTTTGAAAGGTACACATGTGATCAATCTTTTTCCCTTTAGCTCAGGTTTATTTTTTTGCAGCTGTGGACTCTCGTCACACAGCAACACCTGCAGAGCACCGCTTTTCCTTCTTTGATTATTTTTCTCTGTGAGTCACAGTTTTAACTGCTTCTCTTCTGTTTGAACAGATGTATCAAATATTTATGTCTCTGTCTCCTCTCCTTCTCTGGTCATCATCAGACTCCGTCATCCCCTCAGACTGGTCTCATCCGTCTGCACTCACCACAGAACGAGCGGCGTTGCTAGTGGCTGCTTCCAGGCTGTTTTTGTAGCATGACTTCAGCGCTCTCCTCTGCTGCTCTCCCACTCCTCCCTGAGCAATCGGCCCCACGGTGTGGATCACATCTGGGACAAAATAAAAAAGGCTCCATGTCACTCGTGAGGAAAGGGAAAGCAGTGGAATTCAGCAGGATAAAATAAGTCTATTTTGAATCATAAATCCTTAAATCATTTTCAATAAACATTAGACACAGATTCAGGCTCAATATTTTACAAGCTTAGCTATTTTATCATTTATGATAAATTTAGCATTGTGATTGTTGTTCATGTAGCTGTTTGTCAGGCAGCCTGGTATATTTATTAATGTGATCCTGACAAAGATGTAGATAACAGACAAAAGTAGCCAGTAAAAACAACTGAAACATTGTCCTTTGCGCTGCTTATTTAAGATTTATTTATTTAAGATCTATATGGCCTTTAGAGTTTAAATAATTATTTGATCAATAAAAAATAATGATTCCTTAATAAGAAAAGTCGCATTATCTAGACTTCTTTTTGTTAATGGCTTCTCTCTGCACATTATCTGAGTTTTCAGCTATGCAGACGAAACCCAGCTCTATCTGTCATTTCCACCAGACAACCAAACTGTCTCTGCACGAATATCAAACTGTCTCTCTGACATATCAAAATGGATGAAATCCCACTATCTCCAACTCAACCTCTCTAAAACTGAACTACTTGTCATCCCAGCAAAACCATCCATACAGCACAATATCTCAGTCCAAAATGACTGTCCATCTCTGGCTCCTTCAAAGGCAGTTTGAAATCTGGGTGTTGTGATTGATGAACACCTGACCTTTAAAGAGCATGTTACCTCTGTTGCTTGTTCATGCTGCTTTGGGCTGTATAACATACGAAAGATCAGACCATACCTAACACAACATGCCACCCAGCTCCTGGTGCAATGTACTGTCATCCCCCGCCTCGATTACTGCAATGCCCTTCTAACTGGTCTTCCAGCCTGTACTGTGAGACCTCTTCAAATGGTCCAGAACGCAGCGGCGCGTCTGGTCTTCAATCAGCCAAAAAGAGCACACGTCACCCCTCTGTCCATTGAGCTCCACTGGCTACCGCTAGCAGCACGCATCAAATTCAAATAGCTAAAACTGGCATATAAAGTCCGAGATGGTACGGCTCCCATCTACCTGAATCCTCTTCCAAAGGCTTACGTCTCAGCCCGGCCGCTCCGGTCATCACGGGATCGTCGGCTAGCAGTGCCTACACCACGCTCAGGACAATCCAGACTCTTCTCATGCATCGTTCCACAAATGTGGAATGACCTTCCAAGCACTACCAGAACTGCGGCTTCCTTTTCAATTTTCAAGAAACTCCTGAAGACCCTGCTCTTCAGAGAGCATCTTCTAAACTAGCTCCCTCCCTGCACCCGTCCCTCCTCTCTACTGTCCTCTCCTTGTTCCCTCCTCTCCATGATTGATGTCAAGTTGTTGTTGTTGTTAGTCTCAAGGGCAACATGCCGGTTATCACTTGTAAGTCGCTTTGGACAAAAGCGTCTGCTAAATACGTGAACAACATAAAGAAAAGAGACAAAAAGCTTATATCTTCCTTCTTTCCTACACTGCTGTACACCACAGGATTAAAAACACAAGAAATAACGTGGGAACCAAGCCCCCACAATGCGGCTCAAAAATTGACTCCAACCCGGAAGTACCAAAAATTGCAGTTCCACCCTCATCCGCTGGGGGCTGGTGTCAGAAGCAAGCAAATCCTCATTGACTCCCATGTTAAAAATACCAATTTCACAGCAGAAATAAACATGTTTACAGCCTGGTACCAAAAGATGTTTTTTGTTTAAATTATCTAGTTTACACTCATGACAACTCTGAGGGGGTGAATATTTTTCTCACTCTTCTGTTTAAGTGTATTGAAAGCCTAAAATTCTGCATAATTAATGAGCATCAGACCCACGTGACCACAGAGCTAGCTCCGTGGAAAGGCCTCAGTAGAGCCTCGGTCTGGCTTGGAAACTGCTCCGGGATTTTGAGTCTCTGTGTTTGTGTATACTTGTTTGGATATTATTTGTGCAATTGTTGGACAAAATGACTTGCTGTGGCATTAATTGCACTAATAGAGCATCCAAGGAGTCTCCACTTCATATTTTTCGGTAAGTAAAATTATATTTATGTATTTTAGGTCACTGCTGAGCTGAGCTTAGATTTTAACATGTACTGTTTAACCATGAAATTTAAATGCAATAGGGTAAAACCCAGTGCATTTAACACAATGCTGCACTTTAGAAAATGGGTTGAAATATAACATGTTGGTGGAGCTGGGTTCCGACTATCGGCTTGTGGAGCTCTCGGGAGACCGATGTTTTCCACCCGTTCTCCCCTCCCCGCAGCCCGGCGCATCTCTGTCTGATCGCGGCGTCTGTGTGCTGTGCGGGCTGCCGGCTTGTGGAGCTCTGGGATGGAAACCTTTCCACCCGGTTCTCCCCAGCGGCAGCTCTGCGCATCTTAGATCGCAGCGGCACTTGCCTGCTGTGCGGCTGCCGGCTTGTGGAGGTCTCGGAGACCTCTGTGGAGGTCTCGATGACCTCTGTGTTCCACCCGGTTTTACCCAGCGGTCAGCCCGGCGTATCTCTGACTCAGAAGCTCTGGTGTTGTGCACAGTTAACTCCGGTTGTAGCTAGGTTGCTACCAGCGGCATGTCCAGATCTTTTAAAATGGGGTGGCCCAGGTGAGGCACAATTTTGTGCATGGGTGGCACCAATGGTTGTGCTTTTTTGTTTTACCCCCAAGCCTTTTGTGAACAATGAAAAGCCTATTTAAAGGTAAATTAGTGTGGTGGCACCTGGGGTGGCCAATAAGATTCCAAGGGCGGCATGTGCCACCCCAGGCCACCCCCTGGACACGCCCCTGGTTGCTACCTCTGTTAGCTTAGCTCCCACCTCCGCATTAGCTTTGGGTTAGCTTCAGGTGTGCTTGTAGCTAGTTCGACCGGGTGTCATCAGTTGATCCCAGCCTTACAGCCACGCCCTCAGCTCCACCTCTCTTCCCTTTTGTAGAATTGTCTGGGCTTGACGGAACCTGTGACACGGTCAAAATGGCGGTGGTGGCCACCTCCCATTTTAGCACAAAAACGTATTATTGGAGGCTATGGAAACCCATTGCCCAATATTTATATGTCAATGGTGGGAACACAGGTACCCAACATGCAGATAACTAAAAAGGTTAAAGTGAAAAAACAGACTCTGATCTGGTTGTTACCTATTTAAGATAGCGTTTTGAACAACCCCAGCTTGCAGAGACTGGAAGTGCTACAGCTAGCAGCTGCTTCTATTTGATCTGGTGAATGAGCAGAAGATTTTCTGTAAATAAACATGATGTGAAATGGATGCTGCAATAAAGGTTTTAGAATGATTAATCTCATCAGCTGCTGTGAAACCTTGAAATCTGAGATGGTTAGCTAGCATTTAGCTTGTCATTGCAATCGGTTTCTGTCCAGACAGCTACCACTGAACATAGACATTTTACAGGAACCCTCTTCAAAAGATCTGAACATAACGATCACTTTACGAACAAAAAGAAAACAAAACAAAATGTACAATAAACTGAAAATCCTTTAAAATGGCTAGCCTCACCAATACCATCAAATAAAATATGCGTTTTAACTTTTAGCAGCAGTATTTTCTATTTGCATCCAAACTTCATCTTCTTTGGTTCTGTGAGGATAACAGAAACTCAGTACTGGGTGTCTTTGGGTCAGTTCTGCTTTCATTAAATTTCCTTGATAGGCATAAAACATGTTTTATCTCTCAGGACAAGAATTCTATTAATTTATCAGATTGAATTATTTTATATTCATTACTTGAATAAAATTAGCATATTTTATAACCTTTAAAGTTTTTGGACTCTGATGAAATTCAGACAGATTTCAGTAAATCCTTCATTTTTTCTCCAGTTTCAGCAAACTAATCTATTTGTATTTAAGATTCAATTTGTTTTCTGGAATTAAACAAAATGCTGTGACTCTAAAAACAACAAATACACAACAAAACAATTGAAGTTAGTTTAAACACAATGAAATGAGAAATTACTAAAGAAAAATCACAGATGCGTTACTTTCTTAGTCCCGCGCTTTTGTTTTGTACATTTTTACAGAGTTTTGTGCTATTTATGTGGTTGTTACAGATTGAAGCTGAACGGAAGAAAGCGACAGCCCATTTCCTGTCTGGTGTCTAACAACCATTTTTAAATTTAAAAACATAAAAGGAAAATAAATGGAGGGAGTTGATAACAGAAAACTTGATAAAAGCAGCTGGAAGGGAAAAGAATGCCCAGGATCGGCACATGAAACCCTCCTCACTAACACTTAACTGGACCACTGCTCATAAAACAAAACAAAAGAAAGCATAAAAAATCACAAACAGAAAGAATGAAATTTCAATATGCAGCTTATTTTTCACCTAAGTGAACTTTTCCTGCTTTGGGGCAAAATAATAGTAGTTTTTGCACCACAGATCAACTCTGACACTCCAGCCTCCAGAGGAGGCTTTTGTGGCCCACATGAGGTGTTTCCCTGCATCATCACAAACAAATAATCTTCTCATTGTGAAATCACGGACTTGTGATGTGTTTCTCCTCACCCTGAGGAGAAATAAGGAGCAGCGCAATCAATCAGTCCAAGACAAATTATTCCATCCAGCAAGAGAAAACAGGGAACACAAAGGAAACAGTTTTGTGTGTGTGTGTGTGTGTGTGTGTGTGTGTGTGTGTGTGTGTGTGTGTTTCAGCTTCAAGGCTTCTCAGCACTCAGTCCTAAAATCATTGAAAAGAACAATAATAAGAACAAGAATAAGTCAATCTCATTTCCAGTGAGTGCTGGACTCCACTGGGGTTGCCCTTTATCACCGATTCATTTCATAACTCTCGTGGACAGAATTTCTGCTCAGCTGGAGAGGCTTCAGGCTGCATCCCTGCATGAAGCAGATGATGTGGTCACATTGACCTAACTGAGCAACAGGTTGCAGTGATTCAGAAGAGTGCTGCTCCTCCGCATGGAAACAGGGCTATTTGAGGTGGTTTTGGCTACCTGGCCTCGATGGT